ACATATGAGCCAAATGCATGTACTTGTTTATCACTGTGAAAGATAAAAAAAGAAATATGAACGCAGAAATATGAATCTGGTAAACAATTTTATAAAAAAAAATGGTGTTATTCGGAGATGGCGCTCCCGAAATATGTGCATCAAGAAGGCGCACAACCTGAACCCTAACCTGGTACACATACTATGTTCAGGTTGTGTGCCATATATCTGGAGGTCCGAAACAGGGTTGCCATATTGGCTTTTTTAACGCCAAATTTGCCATTTTTGGCTTTTTTCAAACGCGTTTGGCGTCAGAATTTCCGTTTGGCTTTTTGGCGCTTTTTTGGCTTTTTCCAAGTCTATTCTAGTGTCTATTATTAAAATCATATAAAATACAATATTTAGTGTGTAGCAACTGAACAATAGCCTATTCTGTACTTATTAGCTACTTAACATTAGGATTTCCTGGAGCATCGATTTCCTTGTTTGTTACATTAACTCTTAACCATACCCAATAAGAAATAATTGCAGTTTCTGCAGCTGCTCAGACAGATGTTCAAGCAGGGTTGTGAACATTGCCTCGTTTTTATAGTTTTGTGTGCTATTTGTTAGTTTTACGTTCTGTTTCCAAAAAAATAGTTGTATAACTTATATTTCATTATGCCTGATATGGTTTATGTGAGCTTTAGTTTAATTCTGCAATTGCAGTAACGATGTGAATAACTACGCTAAAATTACTGAATTAGATATCAGTGGTCCACCTGTGAGCGGCAGGGGGTTAGATAATTTTTTAATAAAATTGATGGTTTATAAATTTTAAAAGTACGATATACAGATATAGAGAGAATTTTTTAAGGTATATCACAAGTTTAAGTAGAAACATGTAGGTATATTACATACTGACAGACTGAAGCGGCACCCTGTATTGAATATATTGAATGGTAAAATAATGCCGTCCGCTTGATATTTATTTTACTTTCTACAGTTCTATAGCAACTTTACTTTCTATTTGTTTGCCTCACTGGATGAACTGATGGTTCTACATCATCATCAGTACGTTGCCAAGGGCTTAAAATCTGACAAATCATGGGGCTTTTGTACTTGGTAAAATTGTTGGCTTTTTCTGGCTTTTTTTGTGTCTTGATTTGGCTTTTTTTGATCGCTGGGGTCTGGCAACCCGGACTCCGAAATGTGTGTTCAACTTCTGTTTTGTTTTCGTATGTTTTGTGAGCGTGACAGCCTAGTGCAGGGTGGTCTAAGGTTGTCGGCATCGTGGGCCATACTATAGATTTTGTGTTGTTCGCGAGCCACATTAGTCCCAAGACATTTGATAACAATTTATCATTAATCAATGTTTTTATATTAACAATTATGTAGTCCTTAACTGACATCCAATATTTCGTCTCCCGACCCGTTCCTTGTATTAGATTTCAGACTCTTCGCAACGAAGAATGTGCTTTCATGAATGAAGCGCTCCCGAACACAGATAACATGCCGCTTTAGGGTATATTCATTTAGCATCGACATAACTTGCAGACATATCAAGCATTGAGGCTTTGTTTTCCTTAAGCAAGTACTTCGTCTCCCATATCGATTTGAAATTTTGTTTAAATTCGTCAGCCTCATTTTCGAACTCACGTTTACAAAGCGACTTACAAATCATCGCAAAGTATAATGCTAGGATGGTATTTAGTTTTCTATGTGGGCTATTGAGATATTGTTAACAAATATTCTCGAAAAAAGAGAGCAACTTGTGGAAGTTTCAAGTCATTCAAGGGTGCCGAAATCAAAGAACCGACTTTTAAACCAGTTTAAACTGGCCAAGACACTATTCAATTACCCTACCAAAATCACTTTTGTCCACTGACTGTCATAGATATCTCTGTCACAAGTAAATTCAATGACATTGTGATGCGACAATGTGTCAGAAGAATTTTCCAGTAATTTTTATGACAAAACAAAAACAATACCAAAATGCTATTTTCTAGTTATAACCAATTGTTACCTAATAATGTGGAGAGGGCCACAAATAATGATACAAAATAATTTGAGTAAAAAGACACGATTTGCCCATTTTTGGTATTTCCGGTATGCACTTTACAGAGTTGATAATAAAATGCTCGAGGGCAAACACGTCGAACACATGAGCCCAAAGCATGTACATATGAGCCAAACTTGTTTACCGCTGTGAAAGATAAAAAAGAAATAGACGCAGAGATTATGTGGTAAAAAATTTTATAAAAAAAAATTTTTTATTCAGAGATATTAATGATAAAAAAAAAAAAAGTCGTCTGAAATTTTTTGGTTTTGGTCATTGATTGAATATTTTTTTAAGGAAATTTTATTTTCTACGTTTTTAAAAAAATATACATTAATTAATTCAAAGTATATTTATATAGTTACGGTATTTATTTTTGTGATTTTCTTGTTTGATGTTAATTAATAGAAATTTGTTTTGGGTTATTATTTTTTTTTTTTATTACTTTACTTCTAAAGAATTTTTATTTATTAGTGGGCATTTCAGTCTTAAATATTTTTAATGAATTTAAAAAATTATTAGACAAAGTCGAACATTGAACCGCATTCAATCGGCCTCAAATTTTGAAACATTAATGAATAAAGACTGGAAACTCCATATAAAAACAAGGTTTTTTAGACATTGATACATTTCACCAGCAAATAAATTCCTTTACGATTACAAATTTGCAAATGTATTTCATCAAGAATGATATACATTATTTCAGAGAAATACCTCATCAGCCCACACTTGATCTGGGATAAAAAAAAAGATGATTCGTGCTTGGTAGATTTTACAGTTTTATTCTGAATATTTCTTCAAAATACTAAAAGACAAATCTATGACAAAAACCCACAAAAAATAACAATTGCTGAATTGCCATATAATATTATCAGCTATAGAATGTTGTAATAAATACTCGATTATTGAAGCCATAAAAACGTGTAAATACAATAGAAGCGTAATAAAACCACAATGAACTGAAGCCACGGACGTTTCGATCAAATAACATTTGCAAGAGTTATGTGTCAGACATAAAGAATTCACCTGCAGCTATACCCGCAGTGTTTACTCTATACATTCAACATTATACAAACAATACGTACAATTGTAAGTTGTTTGTTACGATCTCAAATCCAGTTCAGTTGTTCGATCGCCTGAATTAAGTTTTACTCACCGGTAGTATGTAAATCTGCAATTAATCATACTACCCCAAACAAGCAGTTTGAAACAATGATGCCAAATTGAGATAGGAGATGATTTACATATTTATCCCGGGAGAGAGGAAAGTAGATAAGATGGTTTATCAATCATATGGTGAAAAACGACCTCTTGTCCGGTTACCGGTCCATGTCGAGTAATAGATTAGTTAGACAGTTATTCGTTTCAGATACATAAACAAGTCGTAACCGACAAATGATTATGTCAACCACCCTACGGTACAGCAATCCTCTTGCACGCAATTATCCCCCTCAAGATTCGAACCTGAGAGTGGTAACCCAATCAAGGTGAGCAAGGTGCGGTGGCAAGTTATTCCTAATGCATAGCACGATGCGCCACACCATAAAGCCATTACCAGCTCACAAAAAATGATCAATTTTTAACATCTTATAACTGTTTGTCTGGTGAGTCTGACTTTGGTCAGTGGTGTTAGAAAATAAAATTTTTTGAACAAGCGACAAAAGATATTTGAGCCATTCAGAATATCAGATTTTATTTATACTGAGGTATCTTTGGGGAAAACAAGCACCTAGTCACACAGAAAGAAGCAGTGAGGAATACAACCATATAAAAGATCCTTATTGTGATTTTTGTTCTATTCTAAACTTAACGTACAGGGTGTCCAAAAAGACTCTTTGAATTTCTAATTTTTTTTACTGAATTTGTTAAATGAGGAATTGTTCAGATAAAGGTTGTTTCGATTGATTTTCTGTTTATACAGTGTCAGATTTTAAATAAAATTATTTTTCCTGAGAGGCCAAATCCTCAAAACAACAAATTTATCGAATAAAACTGTTTTGAATAGCTCCCGAAATCAGGAATTCACAATCTTGAATATAACTACCGTAATTTTGAATCATTTCGTTTTAAGCGTATCTGTGCAAGACATTTCAACAGGTACAAAACCGTAGGTATTCGAAAAATTCCGACAATATGTGTACCTGCGTGTCATTATCGTTAACAGGACAGTATTGCAATTACAATTTCTATTATGGTAAAAAGGTTATATATTATATATATACAATCAAGGTAGAGAATTCTCAAGTGGAATGCTATAGAGCCAGAGGGCAATCAAAACATGTGAAAGAAACGTGAACACTTGAGCCAAAAAATTTCTCGGAAAGTGCTTTTTGCTCCATGGTATCTAACATTACGACTTACGAGACATTAATTAATGATAAAATCATGGGCGTCGCTGAAAAATTAAAGCAAACAAACAAATACTTGTCGGCTAAGTTAACAAAGTCATTCTTATTTTGAATGAGGTACAAATCAGCTATATAAATACCATGTATGATACAAATGTCCACAACTGATATTGCTATTATAGGCCATAGATGTTTAAATGTATATGACCCACTTTATTCTACATAAATGACATGATTATAAATGGGACTGTTTGTTATAAGCAAACTATAAAGTATACGTTTCACTTCATTATAGATGCAACTAAGAATTTTATTCAAAGGTTGTCTCCTGTTTGAATTCTGAAGGTGTTTTTCTGCTGACTTGGTAATCTTTCGCAACCCTTGGTCCATTACAGTGTATGTTTTTCGAAGATTTTATTTTATATTTATTTTTTGCTCAAATGTATGTTTTTTGCACAATGAAAATATCTGAAGTTATGATGAATTAGCATTTATTAATCAAGTATTGTCAATTATTCAGCATTTTTCGAAAAAATTCCGGACATATTCCAGAAAGTTTTACCCAGCTATGGAAATGAAAGTTCATTATTATTATCATACAAATCTATTTATCGAAAGCAAAAAATAACGCCTACCAGCATGTTGTTTCTTCTTCCTTTTGACGGCCGATTCAATTACATTCATAATCTCCGATTCATCTTTACTAGAACGAATTGTATCTCGCAATGATACTTCACTGCTTCCAAATAGACAAACCTAAAAGTTAAATAGCGTTATTAAAATTAATTAATTTGAAATGCAATCCATTGCAAAAATAATTTGAAGAACATAGAAAACACGTCGCTCCAGAAATAATGTGTACCAATATGGAGGTAACTAATTTTGTTCGCCTGTTTTACATCAAGTTGTGTAAAAGGATGTAACAGAACTAAAATACCGAAGATTGGAATAAAATTATCGCCTAACCCTAACCTGATACACACACTACAGGAGTACTTTAAAATTTGTACTGGGGTTGGGGTGAATAAAATCACAGATAACGGTCAACTGTTATCTAAAATCTGATAAGAAAATTAAACTATCAGCCCCTTAACCTAATTGATATGTCCACTGGCATTCCACACTAGAAAGTCAACCTTGGTCTTCAAGATCTTGACGAACTTGGCATACAGGAAAAAAAAACTTATTGATTGGATTCAATTCAGATTCAGATTCAGATTTTATTTTCGTCATGCAAAACCAATATACGATATGAAAAAATAAAAAAAGACATATAACAAATTACGAAGACAGATATCGGCTTGTTGCAATAGACGAGGGATCGCGAAAGACTCAAAGAGTCATCCAGTCAGCGACACCTTGTAGCTGCATTGAAGCAGCAAATATAGCAACCGAACAACTCAATATTAAATAGTCACTATATTCGACACAATCATATATATAAAAGGGACAACAAAAAGAATGCCACAATGACCACGAAAAGTTACCTAAACATTCACTTATGCAGCTTATAACTTCATTAGTCTCACAACAGTTCAATATCACAAAACTGGAATTCATATTCAAATTTAATCAGAATATAGATGATCATTTATATTTGAGTATTGGGACAGAAAAATTAATAAACACTATTAAAACACTAAACAAGGACCTCTTTCATACCAATCAAATACAATATACTTTTTAATATAGTGGATGCTAAGACCTAGTGGTTAAAGCAGCAGTTCCCAAAGGATGCTAGGGTGCGCTATGTCTTTATTCCTCAGGCGTACTTGTCTACAAACTTTTTTAAAAGGCATAAAATACACATTGACAAACACAATTTTATTTAAAAGCAGCATTTTTTTTGTGTAAGTGCGCCGTGTGTTTTTTCCCTGATAATTTGACGCCACACAAACAAAGACATGGTTGTGTAAGCATTGCAGCTCCATAGGTTACACATCTCTGGTTTTAAATGACGTCTCACTACCTTACCCAAGGTGTAATAATTTGGGTAAATAATATTGAATCGGAAAGATTCTTTCAAAAATAGAAGCTCAGTACATATCAGTGGCTGCCATTACAACCAATGAATCCTATATGACATATAATAAAGTGTGCTTGCAATATTTATCGATGTGTGTTTTCATAATCACTGTGCAAAATAATTGATTTTTCATATTTTTTCATAATAAATTTTTTCTAACCTTTAAATTTCCATCAGCAGTGATACGAAGTCTGTTACAAGTACCACAAAAATTATCAGACATTGACGTTATGAAACCGATTTGTCCTTTGAAACCCGGTACTTTATAAGCCTGAATGAATAAAGAGATAATAAAATTTTCAATTCTTAGAATACTTGATATGAGAGCTAGAAAGTATCATTGAATAAACAACTGAAATCAGATCCTGATCTGTAATTTGAAACAAATGATCAAAAACACGAGTCGCAGACGAGCTAGGAAATTTCTTTTTGTAATTCAAGAAGGTAAGTCGCAGAATTTACAAAACTGAAATTTTATTTTAATTCCATTTTAAAATTTTTCATGAAATCATATGTTGGCAAAAATAAAATAGTAGAATTTTTTTCTGGAGTAAATTCAATTCAGAAACGCAAAAAATCATGGTTTTAAATTATTTTTAAATTTTATAAAACTTTAGTGGAATACGTTGGCAAAAATAAAATGATGTAAAAATTCAAAATGGTGAAAAATCATTGTTCCAACTTATTTTTAAATTTTAGAATAAACTAAATGGAATTCACATATTATCATGATCGTTGTTCCTGAATAATATATCTCATTAGGAAGAGTTAAAATTACATTGCTGTAGAATTTGAAATAAAATTAAAAATACTGGTAAATTTAAATATAATTGAATAATAAGTCTCAGGTCCTGAATACAAGACCAAATCAGATACCATAACTGCATTCAGCGCGATATTTTTATCTAATACATCTTCGACGGAGGTACAATTTTGGTCTGATGAAATAAGCATTCTTCCAAATTTTGGAAAAGTTCCATTATAAGATATACATCATTTATAAACAGACTGATAAATCGTCATTTTTTTAGTCCAAAACAAAAGGTGCCAAGGGGATTACTTGGAATATATAATTCTAATGATTACTATAAAAAAGGTTTCAAATTTCCACGGATTTTGGTAAATTTACTAAAAAAAAGTGATGTATTTATGATTTTTAAAAATATCAACTGGAAAAGAATATATTAAATTTATATAATAAAGTGGATAAGATATGATCAGAAACTGTTATTTGTGTATAATATTCACCGACCTTAGAGGTATCATTTGCATGATCTTGGATTTTTTCCAACCCCGGCCATTTTTGATGAATAAGCGAAAGCATTTCACTGTAGGGAAGCATTTTTTTCTGATTCCATCGATTACCTGTTTATGGATAAAACAAAATAATGGATTTTCCTCAGATGAAAATTTCATGATACAAAACAATAGAGCATAAGATATTATAATTCAATATATTTAAGTATATTTTTCTTCTGAAATAAACATGAAATAGGCTATATAAAAATGGCATGTGTGTGCGTGCAAAAACAATATCACCTTACATATCAATATCTGCTTGCGCAGAGCCATGTTCAGTGTGAAATATAAAATATATAAAAATATATATACAGTGTGTCCATATGAATTTGCCCAATTTCATAGTAAAAGGACTAATAACAATTAGAAATTTTGCCCGATGTTAAATTATTAACAATCGTAACTGTAAGTTTGAATAAATTTTATCGCATGATAATTGAGAACTACAAGCACAATATAAACTATTAATTAATAAACAAAGACAAGTTTTTATTGGTATTACTATAAAATCGGGTAATATTTTTCGGACACCCTGTATATATATATGTTGGGGTACATCTGCCATGGTATCTCTTGAACCTCTTCCATGTGCTCGAATCATCCAGTCAATATCAAACAAGGATACTAAAGCATGTGAAAGTGACGGCTTCAATAACCGTAAGTTATTCTAGAATCTAGCAGCACCCTAGCACAATTTGTTTTCGGCCAAGAGTAAGATTTTTTAGAGTTTGGACAAAGGTGATATACAATAGTCTTTTTAACCTTGGTCAGAAGAAATATCATTGACTTTTTAAACGAGAATATCGGTCACGAAGACTTATCGATCGAAAGTTAGGGGATCCCCCAAAACAGTGCTCTTACTCCATAGTGACACCTTGTGTCCCATCACTAATTAATTAATAACTCGCTAATTATACGACACAATTCGCCCAAAATCAATAGGCTTCTGGTCCGAGATAAGATGAATGCACTTGCAAAATCTGGAGCAGATTTAATCACACTTGCGTGAGATATCGCGTGCATCTAACAGACAAGCAGACATACAGACAGAGAAATACCTATCAACATACTTATCATTTAAAATCGATACGTAATAACAGAAAATATATTCCTACATCACCCTCATATTGTTTGTTCAAGAGCCTTGTTGTGAGCAATTTAACTGTTAACACTAGACCTGTTCTAAACCCGTGGGCCATGGCCCATTGCTGGGCCGCAGAAACAGTTAAATTTGAGTATATTACAAATGAATGATGATGTTTTTTGCTACTGATTGGTAATTCTCAATTCAATTATTGAAGTGGCAATGCCTATTTTGGAAATGCAGTTAACTTGCAAATAAACAGCATTTGAATAGTCTCCAGTGATTTGAAAGTCCTGTTGCACAATAACACCATTTACACAAATAAAGAAACCATTTCATTAGCGATTTGAATGGTTTTCTATTTTTACAGTTTTACAAAACCACTACCGTGGCTCTTATGTCATTAATCTGTGGTTTTGATGCTAAATTTTCTCTCAAGCGTACGTGACAAAATACAGAACGACAACATCTGTTTAAGCTAATTCTCGGAAGCAATGCTACTCACAGGTGAAAGCTATAAGATTGTGGTTTCAATGCTTAATTCATAGAAAACAAACAAAAAACAAGCAGATTTTGCCTTGAAGGCGTCTTATCTATGGCAGAGTATAGTCTCCAACTAATTAACATTTACTGGGTAGATTTAAAACTTGGCTTATAACTTGGTTGAGCGTTCACAGTTGAGAAATGAAAGAATCATGAAAATCTCAGTCATATATATTGATGTAACATAAAAAAGACCAATTCCAAAATGATATTTTGGCACAAATAATTTATAAGAAATGAACATCTCGGGTTCGAATCCCATGCTCCCCAATCAGTGGTTGCTCTAAAAGAACCTCGTTAAGAGTGGAAGTGAATATATGATGAGCCGTGGAATGAGGGAAAATTTAAATTAGACTACGACACACAAGTCCATGTATCTGAAACAAATAACTGGATAACTAATAACAGAAGATATGAAAAAGTCCATTTCTAAATAATCGAACTGAGCTACCAAGTTTTACTGCGACCATATATGAAATAGCAACAGCATTAGGATAATATAATATTATTAATATTTAATTACCGTCAAAAGGCATATACTCAATGAATCTGACATCAACCGGAAGGTTTTGCGTTAATGCAACAAAATCACATATCTCATCGTCGTTTAGTCCACGCATGACAACACAATTGATCTGAAAAAATAAAAAAAATTTATATTTAATTCATCTGATCAATTAATTTTACAATGACTCTTGAAGTGATGTCATAAGTCATAACAAGTTTGAAAACTTAACATTACAAAAAGTTTGTCGCTGCCTATAATGACAGCTGTGTGGGACAAACGTGTGAACAAATTGACAATTCTATTCGGCTCACAAGTTCCATGTATAAATTGTTTAAACAGTCCCCCAGCTCAGGACTTTTCAAACTGGGGGTCCCAGCCCCCAGTGGGTAGCGATGGCTCAATGGGGGTGTCACGGTTAGGTTTTTTCAATATTTTCTGTATTATTAAATTTTACTTTATTCTTATTTTAGATTCTGAGGGTCCCGAAAAAATTTGACCTCATATCCACAATGTGGAAATCTATAACTGTGAATATTATGTAACAGTAAATGCCACGGATGGCCAAAACCGAATAATGCCGGCTTCAGTATTGCAAATACAATATAAATTCTAAACTAATATTTTTGAATATATTCTCAAATAGGTCTGTTCCCCCAAAAAAATATCTTCAAGACAATTATAATTTCGCAGACAATTGTAATCCCAGAATAATCTCAGAAAAACATTGCTCCATTGGTGTCAGACAAAACAAAGCTAAAGACCATATTTGTTGGGATTAATGCATATTATTGATTTCATCCTACGTAAAAGCTCTTTAAGTGCATTGTTAAAAATATTAATCACATAATGTGCTGAATAGTAATCTTATAATAAGGGTTTACAAACCTATTTACTGGCTGGAAACAATTGATTTTGGAGGTAATTAAATTTAATTGCTAGGATCTGTATAATATACGAATATTTATTCACCATACTACATTATGTAAATAACAGCAACAATGGAGATTATTAATTGAAAATTCATGAAAATTTTGTCAAATTGATTCATGCTGCATTAATAGTACAACGATATTAATTAGGCACGAATGTTCGAATTGAACCGAATATTCGAAGACATTCAAAATTGGTTATTTTCGATTTAGTGAAAATCTCGATTTTAGGAATAATTTAGAATATTTTCATTAGAAAATGTATTTTTAAAGCATTTATTTTTCTATGATGGACAAAAATTAGTTAACTCCTAACAGAATAAAATATAAAATACTAATTAAAACAATGTTCATACCAATTATTCTGCAAACCAAATTTAATTTCTACGAATTTACAATTGTCTTGAAGAATTTCTCTCCAGAAACAGACCCATTTCAGTATTATATTCGAATTTCATATCTTGAAGCTTATTTTAGAATATATAATACTAAATTATTCGGATTTTGCCAACCCTGGTATTAATATTTAATATTTCACCATATTATTCAGACTATAATGATTTTTAAGATAAGAAATATTATAGATTTATGCTACATGCCAAAAACAAATCGATCCATCCATCCAGAAGGATATTAATTACGGTATATAGATAAATTTGAAATAAATGCATAAGTCAGTAACGCGAGAATAGAAGAGAGTTGATTTTAGACACAATTTTTTTACAAACACATTACCGTATGTGAAAAATTGATAAAAGCAATGCCATTCTTGATCAAGGTATATATCCAGTTTGATAGAAAAAAATCAACCAAAAATGGTCTATTCTACTTTGATAAACTCAATCAAAGGCGCTGGAATCGAGTTCCAATCTGGTCTCTTGGACTTCCACTTCTTAAAATATTATTATTAAATAGCATGTTTACATCATATACATATAAGCAAACAAAATGAGAATTGAACAAAGCACAGTTAATTCACTGTAAATTGATATCATTGCAAATGGTACCTAGTCTAGGATTTGTCAGTGGCCCCAAGAGGGCCATGGCCCCGTTTGAGAAACCCTGGTCCAGGTGGTATTTCGAACTCTTGTAAAAACAACACTTAAAATAAATGATATAACACAATATAAAATTATATATCCTACCTTAACTGAGTCCAGATTACTGTCAACCGCTTTATAAATACTTTTCACTACATGATTCCATCCATTTCTTCTTGTAATAAAGCTGAACTTTTCTGCAACTAGAGTATCCAAACTTATGTTAACGCTGTCTAAACCAGCTTCTAATAAAGCAGGAAGCTTTTTTGCAAGGACAATCCCGTTTGTTGTGATACCCATTGTATCAAAATGATGATATGCCGGATCATTTCCAGTTCTTAAACGATTCAATTCAGCTGAAAAATAAAAGTCAATTTTGATGATAATTATAGTATATGACAGAAATTTTTTTAATATAATTTGGTCAGAATATTGTCACGCGGTGTGCACTGATTCTGCAGTACTTATGGAATATTCACAAGCAAATGCTGAAATACTGTGAGCTAACTTAAAACATACAGAATTAGGACAGTTTTATTATGCACCAGTAAATACCAGATGACGTAATTTTGAGTCTATATGATTCAGAAAACAACCAAATGGTTATCAATTCTACACAAATGAAGTTCTTGAGAAAAAAAAATGTTAGATCCACTTGTGTAACGACTCAAAATGCCTAATTTTTTAATAAGAATTCTAAATTATTACTAAATTCAAAGATTTGCATTCTCGAATATAATGAATTTTGAACGTATTCAATTCATTTTGGACAGCCTGGACACAGCTCATTCAAGCATCATTACATATGCATGAAACAAAAGGTAATTATTTTATTTGTGAGCATTTTACGAGGAATATTTATGAACAAATCTATTGTAAAATTTCCTAGAAAGCCTGAACAAAAAGATTTAATTATTGAGAGAAATGACTTACATAAAATTTCACATATATCTGGTCTGACCAACGGTTCTCCTCCAGTAAATCTAATTTTATCGACACCATTTCTGATGAATAATTTTGCAAGATATATAACTTCCTCTGTAGATAATAAATGCTCTTTTGGGGTGAGATCAACTCCTTCTTCCGGCATGCAATAAGTACCTGGGAGGAAATGAATAAAGTAAACAAACATACAATGATTTCTTTCTACGAAATAGTAAGTATAATATTATATAATATGTTACGTGCAAGTATATTTGAAAGTATACAGTCTCAATCAAACAGAGTGATATGTAGTAAAACAAACAGAAAGGATCTGCAGTTGAATACCAATATCCCACTAGTCTATCCCCAGTATCGAACTTTACAATTGAAAATGTCTATCGTATATCAGAAATGAGTACTACTGTATATGCTCGTTTACCGCCCGATCTTGATTAAGGGCCTGTTTTAATAGCCGCCCGTGTGAACAGAACATAAAAATAAATAAGGGTCGGTGCTTGAATACCTGGCCGATGTAAAAGCTGATTTTTCAGTGGTAGAGAACAATAGGAAATAAGAAGCGCTTTTGTCACAACGCTGTTGAATTTTAAGAGCCGGTAGATAACACACACGCGCCCAAGTACATAACAGATAGCATTTATTACGCAACACCATGGTTCTCAAACTGGGCGTCGTTTCAATATTGATAGGGCGTCGCAAAACTATTCTTCTTTTGCGGATTTGTATCTGCGGTGCGCAGCAAAAGTCAAAATTTTCGTTATTCTTGTTTAAATCATACTTGAGAACTGGAAATAACAATACATTAATTATTGTAACGATCGAAAATAACAAGCGACTGTGCTTGAATAAGGGCCCGGTTAGTGAGTTGGTTGAAAAAAATATGGGCCCGGGCTACAAAATAAAGCAAATACGGTATTTCTAAATCCCTTCCTTATTAAAATTAATTAAAACTCTGCAGAACGACCATGGGAACAACAGCAACTCTCACATTGTGTATTTTTTCTGGGATAGATCTCAAAATATAATGTGTGGCAATTGGCACCTACCAACGGCCACATATTTTTGTTATTATATTTATTATATTAGGAGTTACAATATAAACATAAAATGGCATTTCGAGCACTCTTAAATAGCTATGTGGGGTAAGTCGAAGTCTGTGAAACGTTTTCCATTTTTGGCGAGTTTTAACGACTAAAAATGCTACAGTGAAAAGTCTCTCCATTCAAATTTGGTCATGACGCAAAGTCAATTTGTCTAGGAACTGAACAAAATGGATTAAAATCACCTTATTTTTTAAAATCTATAAAAACACCATAATCTTGCTTGTGGTTAAGGATAAAAATGACGCCATTGGCGTATCTAAATATAGAATTGGATTATAATTTATAACATAAATAAAAGTTGAATCTTACATCTGAGATTACATTTTTCTGTCAGTGATATCCGGAGATAAGTGTGATTTCGTCCAAATTTATCACTCAGAAAATGAGAAAACGGTTGAACAATATCTGGCAATTTCCTTTTCGTTGTTTGGCTTTCGTTGAAATTATAAATCTGTGATAATCATTACCATGAATAAAATGGTGAATAAAATATTACTTAGAAATATGTCTGAAAAAAGTTGGGTAAAAGCCTGTGGTATTTTAAAGTCTATGTTTGAATTATAACCTATTTAGTATGCCACCAAACTGTTGTTTAACAGTTGACAATTTTAAATAATAAAACATTGGTTTGGTGATCACAGCTTCTATCAGATTAGAAAGCTCAACGAAAATATATGGTTGCAACCTTACTGTCACGATGTGAAAATATCAATGTTTCGATTGTGGAACATACCACACCGATGATATTACGATAATGTTAAAGAGCGAAATATGATCTAAGAAAGATGGTTTGAAAGCAGAAACATATAGTATGCAATAGCATTATAAATAAACTGCAAACAAAACAACAAAACTCGGCCTCGAAAGATATTACATACTGAGAACAGAAGAAATAATTCCATTAGGCGTACTCAATAACTTAATATAAATAACTTGTCCAAGACAGCTGTTTGCACGTTTCTAATTTGGTAATTGGATCTACGAATAATGGTCGAAGCACTTCGACAAATTTCAAATTTAGAATATTTAAAATGGTTTATCATCTTGCGGGAAAATGGGGAATTTTGCTGAAATCATAAAGTAATGTTTGAATTTTTTCTCAATTTAAATTCCTAATAAACTAAGTTGAAATATTATAGAATAACCAATCAGATATAGCATCTCTAAATTAATGCAAATTAGTTCATGCTTCTTCAAGATTTTAGTAATTTATCACAAAGAAAAAACATCCAATCGATTACTCAATTATTACAAGAGCATCATCTTCTTTGAAATTTAGCAAGTGCATTTTGTAGCATGAATTTTGATTATATTTCTGGATTAAAAATTCGCATGTACAGCAAATACGATCATATAAATTGCAAAAAAAAGATTTTTAAAAAATTACACTACTGAAGACATCTCTGAAAAGTCTGAGTAAATTGTATTGAAGAATTTGTTACTCATAGGCCAGTAACCCAAAGTATGAAAGATAGTATTTAATTTGTAGAGTGTTGGAAATAACTATGTTGGCGCAAGTTAAATAGCTGGCATTCAACCCCTTGCTCTTGCCTCAAAGTTGGGTGTAATAAATTAGGTAGACCATGCCTAACGCTAAATGATTCAAGGATTCCAAATTTGTATCCTTGACTGCTTATACAGATCCTTGTTCTGAGTGAAAATAATTGCATATAAAAAAAAGGATTTTCATACTATTCGATTTCTTCAACACATAATTTCAGAAAATCATTTATGCTGCTGGGTGAATTGCCAATGCCCATTTATTCTTTATTGATTTCAGTATTAGAATAAACTCAAAAGTCAAACCCCAATAAAATAAAAACAGGTAATAGTTACCCTAATTACAATTCAGTTCTGGGATGTAGGTTTACATCCAATTTCCTCAATGGGTGCTTGCAACTACTCTTGCAGACTTGATGAGTTAAGAAACAGACCTCAAACTTTTTAATGATTTCTGACAAGATTCTCAGTTAGCTTCCAATATTACTACTACTACTGTCTGACTGTACTAGAAACGTTCCACATAAACTATATACCTATATATCAGAAATTTACATATAATTTTGAAATGCCAGTCATCGCCAATTTGGTCATCGGTTTCACGCCAGATACCAACGCGGGCTCGACGGCCACAGACAACAATATTTCGCGCTCTAATTTGTAACCATATTTACCTTTATTTATTAAAAAAAAACATCGAAACATCTTATCTATTAATGACATAATACTGTAGTAATGCTACATTAATTTTCAATGATTAAAATCAGTGTACAAATTCAACATACCTCATCTTTATTCGGCTCAACAACGGTGGCTCTCGCAGCATTTCGACGCGAGGTGTTTTGAAAGATAGAACGACGTAACAATCGTCTGGCTTGAGTTTTTCCTCGCCACAGGATTTTGCTCGTTACATAACTAGCCATTTGATCCTTACGTAACTATAGATTCCGACCGTTCCACTGTCATATTACCAAATGCAGACCAGCTGACTGATGGAATAACCCGTTCCACGCTGCAAGAGAAAAACGATTGCAGTTTCGAGAGAGTGCCTAACGCTTGCGGACAACATACGTACCGTATTATACAAACAATGACGAGACACACAGGCAGGTTATGTCTGGGACAGGAAAAGTCATCATGCATCGTTCGTCTCTCTGAAAACACGTTTCCAAAAGTCTACGAGCTTGCATTCAGTGAATTTTGCAAGATTTTGAGCATCTATGCCTAAAGGTTAATATATCACTACAGTCCTCCTCGCGATAAGCCTCACAAAAACTCTCATGACAGAAGGTTCACACTGGAATGAAAACAGATTGAGGTCAACTCCGCTTGAGACGCGCCAAGAAAATTCCAAACAAGTTGAGCGGGCATCTAGTTCTTATCATAAAAGAACGAGTCCGCTTACCTGGGAGCTCTTAAACGTTAAACTTGTTGGGACAGTCACAAACTTCAAATATTACATCGTCTTGGACATGGCAGGAGGAAGATCCCGGGTTTGAATCAAGAAGATAACCATATCCAAGACATGATAAATTGGATAGACTTGATTTTCTTGGATATATTTTCGAAACAACTTTGGATTCTTACCAATAAAAAGTATTTGGAGAACTTAAGAATACAAATGATTCAGCTTGAAAATTTATTATCCAAGTTGAGTGGAAAGCCGATAAGACAGCTTAATCCGGTTACCAGTCCATGTCGGGAATGGGAATAGTTAGCCAGTTATATGTTTCAGATATATGGACTTCAAATGTATGATGTGCATCGCTCCCTTACTGATACATAGCCTACTCATCTCTTTTCCTATAGACAGTTTTAAAATGGAACTTGGTCTCAAAGATGGAGTAACTAGTATTTTAAAGTTCATCAAGAGTCAATTTATTGATTTGGAACTAACGGGTGAAGGGCCCGGCGAGAAGGTAACATTTTCTAGCATGACGTTTTATTTCTCCCTACTGAATTGTTCATCCGAGCCGAAGACTTCCCAGTTTTTATTTTCCTCACCTTCAGCACGGCCTTTCTCCTCTGGTATTTCCTAACTCGTTAGTCCGACTTACGCCCACATTTTCACTGGTATTTTTTATATTCGTTCTGGTCAACCGTGATTCTTTCCCTCATTTTACCCTCACCTAGTGTTCGCTGAAATATTGACTTCCTGCCCGATTTCTCGTCAGGTTTTTTACATCTTCTGTTTCTCTTCCTTTGGGTTGGACTTTCACTCATACCGAAGTTCACTATTATCATTATGTCCGCCGACTGTCCTCTTGTTACCTATCATTTTGTTGTCATCCACGCTCGTGTGACTCCGACTCAACTGCTACCATTCTGATGTTTCTTGCCTTTATTGACGCCCATGAAACGGAGGATAAATTTCGTGGACTCAGTTGCTTTGTTTGCGATCTTTTGCTGTCGTTTTTAGGATTCTTGCATCTTTGGCTCCTAGGTCTTCTGTCCGAATGTTAGATAGGTAGTGCTACGACAAACCTGCAAGGGACAATTCATGAATACATAATTGATAATTCCGCAACGATATAAAAGTAATAAAAAGTTAGTTTAGCTTTATTACTGTTCTGTGATATGTTGATACGGCTAAATTTTTAGGCCCAAATCCATTATAACCGTCGGTTTAAAATCGACGGCCATCACTTCGACCTGCAACCCGTGCGATGGACAATTTTTATAAGGACTTTACATTAAAGAGTGAAGGTGGGTTATTGTCGAAGTCTTGCTCAAATTATAACTTTTTGATTCTTTTCTTACACGCCTAAAGTTCGGAGTAACATATTAATATCTAATGATGGTTGACTAATGGATGTAATACAAAAGTCACGTTTGATTACATAACACTATTGTCGTTTTGAAACGTGTTGATAAGGCAAATGAAATAGAACAAAGAGAAGTAAAAACGACCCTTCATATTAGAACAGCGGTTCTCAAACTGTTTTGTTCGCGCGGTGCCAAATCATCAGGAAAAAGTTCACGGTGCACTTACACGAAAGAAAGTTGCTGCCTTTTATTGAAACTCAATTTAGTGTTCTTTGATGTGTACTTTATGACTTTCAAAGTTTGTAAACATGTAGACCTGAAGAATAAAGGCGAAAGGTCAACTCTTCTTCCTCGCCTCTGACTGATAGTACGAGCTACATATCAATAGAGGCATATACTACGTAACAAAAACGACATAGAAAGGTAAAACGATTTATATACATAGAATTTAAAATACAAAACAATAAAAATTATAATAAAAACAATATAGCCTATATGTAAAATATCCAATCATATATTAGTTATGTTTAACCAATGACATTTAACAGAATTCTGTTAATTTTTGGGGCGTGCTGTCTGGGAACCGCTGGAATATAATAAGAGAGAGAGAGATTTTATTATCACAAACAATGTCAACACTGTGATATATTTGAAGCAACAGAAGATTAAACAACTATTGGTCGGGTTGATCTTTATTTGTGAGGGTCAGTAGCCTATATAACTTATATACTATAGGTAATTAATCAGAGATAGCATCAGTGATGAAATATGAATAAAATAGAAATAAAATGTATATATATGTCAGCAATTTAATGCAAGTCGTGATGTTAATAGGTCACGTCAAGTTTTTGAGTCTGGACAGGTCCATAGAATCTGAACAATTATCAAGAGCTTAGATTAGTTTTCACAAATATTTATAATATGTTTGTAATTAAATGGACCAGGCCGAGCACAAATATACACAGATAAAATAATCAGCCAATCGGATTATCACAGATTCAACAACAAATAAAATAATGAAAGTATCATTAACAATGGCTTTTAAGATGAACAATGATAAATTACAGAGTAATAGTAATAAAAAAAAGATAAAACATCCAAGTATATATATATATTTACAAAATCGGAAGAGGCCCACGACCTTCAATATACAGTTTTGATGTGAAACAGTTAAATCGTAAATATATACTACTACGGTTAAATTCATGGTAATATAATACAGTGTTCGGCACATTGACTTTGAAGGCAAACAAACTTTAAAAGCAAACATAACATTAAAAAAATAAACCAAATTGGCCTTCGCTAATCTGAGCTCTTGAGGATTCGTCTACGTTGACTAAGAAAAATATTTAGTTCGATGGATACGCAAATACCCCTTTCGCGGGGTGAACGAACAATGAGGAAAGTCAGGTTCAGATAAAAAAAAAAAAAAAAAAGAGTAAGCGCGACTCAAAGCAGATAAAAATATGCCCGTGTCGACCTCAAAACATAGAACAACTGCCATTCTGTAGAGTTAAGAGGTTCTATAGTTAAGAGGTCATATTTCTGCTTATTGGGCTGTTTTGTCAATCTACTTCCGTAGCTAACTCTCGACACAGTTCAGAGTTGAGAGGTTCTACAGGTCATATTTCTGCTTATTGGGCTGTCTTGTCAATCTACTTCCGTAGCTAACTCTCGACACAGTTCAGAGTTGAGAGGTTCTACAGGTCATATTTCTGCTTATTGGGCTGTCTTGTCAATCTACTTCCGTAGCTAACTCTCGACACAGTTCAGAGTAGAGAGGTTCTACAGGTCATATTTCTGCTTATTGGGCTGTCTTGTCAATCTACTTCCGTAGCTAACTCTCGACACAGTTCAGAGTTGAGAGGTTCTACAGGTCATATTTCTGCTTATTGGGCTGTCTTGTCAATCTACTTCCGTAGCTAACTCTCGACACAGTAGTAACGCACACATAAACACATCCAACTTGTATGAAAGAACTTGTAATGAAAGTATATTTATAGTATATACAAGACACAGTCCAGTAAAATTCCACAATCAGGTAAAAGTTACACTGTAGATAAAGATTCCACAGCAAGTAATGGCGTGTAACACAGTGAATATTTTATAGTACAGTAGTATGTGTAACGTATGATGTGTAAAGTCTGTATGGTTACAATATATTTGTGTCCTCATCCCAACAACAGTACTTAAAATTTAGCTACAAGACACAAAAACAAGAAAATACCATAATTAGCCTCAAATATACAATTAATTAGAACCTAAATTACTGAATAATCCTGAACTATAAACTTCCCTAGATATCTTAAGCCTAAATTAGCAGAATCAAAAAGCCTACAATTGCAATTCATTGCCGCAAAGCAACCGCAGCATCTAACAAAGAAATTCAAGTGACAAGCCCTATTTCACTGTCTCCAACAATAATGAATTGGACATCAGGTTGGACACAATGGTAATAACAAGCGCATGAATATAAAACAGCTGATATGAGTATTGCACCATTATTGCCAAGAACGTCATACTTTCTCTCGGTCAGGGGCTCTTAATATAAACAAACAAATAAATAAACTAGAGCAAGTCTACATGATTATCGGACCGGAATAACTAAAATTAAAACTCACTAAAGTAAAATTTCTGCCTGTAACACATTCCCCCTCACCTGAAAACCGCAGAAAGCCAGGCTTAGGCGAAGAGAGTGAGTCGGCACAAAACAAAGAAAAAGTGCCAGTGGGGAGATCGCTGAAAACGAGAGGGGCGCGCGAAATAGGAGTGCGCCTTGAATCAGAGTGCCAGTCGTTTGCCCCTACAACACTAAAAGAACGCATAAAGCCAGGCCTAGGCGAGAGAGTGAGCTGCAGACAAGCCCAAACGAAGAGAGTAAGTCTCAAGGCAAAAACCCCCGGCGTAGGCGAAGACTTGAGTGCGCCGCAAAATAGAGAAAACAACGCCAGTCCACAACACGAGGAGTCCGCGCACAGTTAGAAAAGAAAAGCCCACGCGGAAGCAGCCACTCATGTTTCAGGCATGTATGAAAGAACTAGAGTGAGCCGAAAAAAGCTAAGGCACGAATACCATTGAGTTAGTGTCTCAGGCCAAGAGGCAGACAGGCTAGACATTTGGCCCGCAAGACATATTAAAGTGTGCCAGTCCCATACACAAGGAGATACGACAGTAGGCTTGGGCGAAGAGACTGAGTGGGTCGCAAAACAGAAAAAATACCAGTCCCACTACGAGGAGACCGTATACGGTTGGAAAAGTCAGGCCCAGGTGTAGAAGCAGGTCACAAAAAAAGAAGTTAGGGAGTAAAGGTTTAGTGAAGAAACCTTGAAACCAGTAAGCCATAGGCATGAAGCACCGGGTGGGCCTCAGGCGAAGAGAGTGGCACGAAAAAAGTACCAGCCTCAAACACGAGAAGAGAAGCAGGTATCAAAGAAGTTAGTAGTGTGAGTGAGGGATAAAGCGGGTTCTAAATTTTTGAAACAGATAAAAGTAATAACATCCTCCTAGCGACAATTTTCTAACCACTTGGTCCGGTAATTGTGCAGAAAAGCGATTTTTTTCAGAACAAGAAAATGAATTTTAATAGCAACAACATAATACTAAAACAATTCATAGGCCCACTTCTTGTGCAAAAATCAGTAAGGGACCCCGTCGAAAAGACTGGTGAGCCACAAAACAGACAAAAATGCCAGTCCCAAAGCGCGAGGAGAGAAGTAGCCTAATTTACCAAACAAAAGTTAGTTAGTAAACGAGGAGGGAAAAAATGAATTCGAAAATTCGCACAGGCCCAGTGAGTGAGCGAAATAAGCATGAACAATAAATGTTTCCTCCAATGTAACCAACCAGACTAAGTGAGCGAGGAAAATAAGCATGAACAATGAATGTTTCCTCCAATGTAACCAACCAGACCAAGTGAGTGAGGGAAATAGGCATAAACAATAAATATATCCTCCAATGTAACCAACCAGACTAAGTGAGCGAGGAAAATAAGCATGAACAATAAATATATCCTCCAATGTAACCAACCAGACCAAGTGAGTGAGGGAAATAAGCATAAACAATAAATATATCCTCCAATGTAACCAACGCAATTGGTGCCCAACGAATCAAAAAGAGATATTGGGCTAGTGATAAAGTCATAATAGAAAAAAGTGAAAGAAGAATCCTAGTCTAGTCTAATGAGCACTCACTCCGAAATAAAGCAGAACTGAGATCTGTGCGAAGGATGATCACGGAAGTGCCAAGAGCTATACTGAGACGATAAAGAATTATAGCGCGGAATCGCACGTTACAGTAGTTAATATTGATTGACGCGACACTCTAGTAGTTCAGGTCTATACAAATAGTTATAAGGTATGAGATAGAGAATTTCACAGACCTGGAGTTTTTGGAAATAACGTTGAGCATTAAATCTGGTCTATAAATCCGAGTAAAAATACAATCCATTATAATACAGTATACACTGTTAGATAAATAAGCACAGTGACGCAACATTTCGTCAACGAAAAAAGTTTGCAGTTCGGACGCCAATTGGAAACCAATCATATTTGGTATTCAGTCTATCAGGTTTAGTGGGGCCACAGGATCACCTGCTTGAATATAATATAAATATTATATGCATGGACGTATCAGTGATTTGTACACGTGGAGTGCGAACTCGCGACAAGAATGAAGGCAATGCAGGCATAACCAAGTAAAAACCCAAAAGTGTTTTCCCACGTAATCACCTTAAACAGGATTTACATTTCTATATATACCAAGAAATTTATAATTCTGTTAAATTTTGCTACTTGATAGTCTTTTTGACTGGTGCTGGTCCGCGAAGCTTTTTAGTCGGTCCGCGAGAAATTTCGTTTTTTTTTTATCTGTCTCAATTGCTTTACCGAAGACGAAGTTGCGTTGGTTTATTACGCGATTTCTTCTAAATTCTCGATACAAAAATTCCATTTTGGCATTGGAATTTATTTGGCAAAAAAAAAAAAAAATTACGCGATTTCTGTTTCGCCGTCATATCGCGACATCTTAGACCCAAGTAATCAAACTTTTCGCTCTTTCGGCTCCGATTCATCGCGAATGCGCTCCATCAAATCTCGCAAGATTCAAAACCTAAAAGACGGCGTGCGTGCTTTTTCTGTTTTGCATGGTTCTCCTGATTAATACATGTATAACCATCCATATAAAATGATATGCATATTTATTTGTTTAAACCAGAAAACAGTCAAGAACCGTTTAATATTCAAGTATATAAGATATGACCTTGTTGCGATCCTGCAGGCGGTCACGAAACACGCATGGACATGGGCCGCTGCGATCTTGTCCAGTATTTTGAGCAGACACAGCAGGATTTTGAGCCTGGCGCCAAGTTACCGGAGACTTTGTCATTGTGATGTAAATTCATTTCGTTTGAGGCGTCGATCAACTGCAGAGAGGTTAATATGATAAAGCCGATGAAAAAGTTAAAGCTTGATTAAAATTGTGATTCTACTTTACAGTCCAAATTTAAAAACGAATCACTGTCACGCTTTTGGATATTTTTTGAAAACGAATATCCATCGCTAAGTAATCGAGCAATTAGATTGTTGTCCGTAGTTTCAACCAGTTATTTATGCAAAAAAAACATTTTCATCATAAGCTTTAATTAAAACGAAGCAAAGTAATCAGCTGCACGCCGCTGCAGATCTACGTGTTGCAGATGGTATTATTACTTATCGATTTTAATCGGTAAGTATGTGGATAGGTATTTGTTTGTATGTCTGTCTGTTAGATGCACGCGATATCTCACGAAAGCGAGATCGAATCTGCTCCAGATTTTGCATGTGCATTCATCATATGTCGGAACAAAAGCCTACTGATTTTGGATGAATTATGTCGTATAATTAGCAAGTTATTAATTAATTAGTGATCAAGATTTTTGTAAAGCGACAGAATTTTGAGATCCGCCGAGTGTGTTTGCGATGCGCAGTGCGCAAGTTACAAGAGCGGATGAATCGAAACCGCAGTTTCTGTTTTGGGGGATCCCCTAACTCTCGATCGATAAGTCTTCGGTTTCCAACCGATATTCTCGTTTTATGTTTCATCCATTTCAATTTTTTGCTGGCACCTGGTTTGACAGTTTTTCTTCGTGTGAAATGTTTTTAAGTTTGCCTCCTATTGTCTTCTAGACTCTAGAAGCATATTGAGTGCCCTACATTACATTATATTACGCAAATACATGTTATTTTTTTCTGTTCCGGTCATTTCAATTTTTGCCGGTCCTCCAGAGTAGAAAGGTAGGCTAGGCAACCACTAATACAGTGGGCCACGGCCTCTCGTTCGGTTACCTTTGGTAACGGGTTATTAGTTTCTGATGCATGGATATGATGGAGGAGGAAGTCTAACCAACCACCCTACGACGGCGAGGGGTCCAACAATCCCAATCATCCTCACGGGATCCAAACCCAGCATACGCTTAGCACGATGCGCCAAACCAAAATGGACAAGAATTTCCGAGTCTCAAATTCTTGGTGCTCCGGCCGGGATGCCGACTTTTGATTGGTATTACAGTCAAGTAACTACTCCCAATTACTGAATGTCAGGATATCACAAAATTTGTTTATTCATATGTACTGTTAGTAAGCAAATGAAAGGCCAGACAGTTATACTTTGAGCAAATTGAGATTGAAACTCCTGTACAGCTGATATATATATACAACGCATGGATCTTTTGTACAAAGCGGCCACCACTGAGGCAAAAATGCGAGATTGGAGAAAAATAACCCGCCAGTTTCAAAATAACAAATTAGTAATTATCCAGTTTGGTACAGGAATGATTCGAAATTGGAAATTTCAGCGCAATCTGCATCCCTAATCCTGACTGGATGATTGATAACAACCTTTATCTATTCTATTTCTAGCGTTGTGGGGGGGGGGGGGGTGTTGGCAAGGCTTTCTACAAAAAATCCCAAAGCATGTTTGACTTGGAATCAAACTCAAGAACAAACAGAGCAAAATTTAAAGAAGAAAACGAAGTAGGTGAGCAAGAGCATGGCAATAATAACGCAAAGTAATTGGAATGCAATTATACAATTAAGGTAATAGAACTGCTGTACAAAGTAAGAACAAGGCACTGGATGTTATACATTTAGATAGATCCTGATATATATACCCAAAAAAAAAATATTACAATCTCTCCCAAGAAGCTAAAAAAAATTAATATTTCAGATAACGCTTATCAAGTTATGTCAAAAATGAATTAGATTAAATATTTATATTTACCCAAATCAGGGCCATGAACCCCCAACAAAATTACAAACAATGTTAATAGCAAGGTGTAAAGCAACCTGATATTATATGAGTTATATATTTGCCCCTGTGAAAGATATGTGATAAGATAACATGGGACTTGGTATTTATTTGAGTACCGAATCACAGTATCCATTCAAATAGTTTGGAAATTCCGACTAGAGAAATTTACTCAATTTTCCAAGCCGAATGTTATTCTGATAACATTGTTAACGCTGGGTAATGAAGAAATAAAACGAAATAAGGTTAACGAGTAGAAATTTCCGATTCTGTTACCTTTTGCTACTTGAAAGACTACCTATATTGAAATTACATCTCGCCGAGCACGATTTATGGATACGGTAATCGAATTCTTATTGTAGAGCAGTGGTTCCCAAAGTTGATTGACCGAAGGGCCAAAATTAGAAGCTGAAGGATATTTGTGGCAGGGAGAATGGAGGGCACGCAAGACGGCGGTACCTTACATATAATTAAGATACCGCCATAATTGAATTGTTACCTAAATACACATGCCCAAATTGTGATAATGACGTAACAATTGGAGGTATCTATAACGCAAAAAGCATAAAGTGTTAAACAATTTCACTCAAGTTCGGCAGGCCATATTAAATCCTTACATAGGTTCTACTTGGCCCGCAGTTTGAGAACCACTGTTGTAGAGTATGGGTGGAGAATTTGCGGGCAATTTGTACACTGTTACCATTGATGGGGTAGGTAATAAAAATACTGTATAATGATGTGAACTTGATAATAATTCAAAAAAGCAAAAGAATACATCAGGCAAGGCGTTTTGAGAGAAAATAAGCAAAATTAATATGCGAATCAATAAAAGAAGCTAAATTTTCTATTTAAAATACAATATATATTTTCCCATTTCAAATGATGGTACATCAGCACCAAGTAAACTGTGGCGGTTAAGATATAAATTACCAGTAACATTCAAGGACCAAGCGGTTTAGGGGAGAAGTCCTTCACGTTTATTTAATTCGACCGAAACAGCATGAAGGGAGCAAGTTGTTGATGTCAAAAAAATATTGTTTTGGAAACTATAAAAAATCCTCTTCGGCTAAATTTTGGGGCATGCATGTGACATGCATTCATACCCTTCAAATTCCCAAAATCAGTGCATGGGAAATCGAGCAAGAATACTTCATAAGCACTAATACATTTCAAAATCACACGGTGTATACCAGCGGTTCCGAGTCGGAGGCCACAGAGCGGTTGGAGGGGGGGGGGGCTACGATGCTAGGCACAAAACTGATTTTACTTTTCCCCTTCTGAAGTAAAATCCCTGTTCTTCCCAGTTTCATAGCTTGACAAGGTTATTTCACAGGGTGTTTCTACTTTGTTGAGCATGAATTGTCCGAACCGAATGGAGTTTCGAATACAGCAATCAAAATAACACTATAAATACCACTGAAATGATGAACAGGAGGGAGCCACGAGCCATGAAAGGTTAGGAACCACTGGCGTATACCATGATTCTACCGCTTGATATACCAATTTAGAAATTTCGATTGAAACGAAAGAAATCCTAGATAACGGATAACCCAAATACGGATTTCCATTCAAATTACAGTCGAACAATCAAGTCAGTAAAATTTAAACATAAAAGACGCTCAAAAAACATTGCAATTTGGCACGTCAATGACAAATATAACACAAGCAAAAATGAAGTAAAAATGCGCGATGACGAGATATAATGTTTATGTACAATACATATAATACAAAATATGATTAAAATTAACATAAAATGTTATACCTTTTTATTTTGCTACCAATTTTCAAACTTAAATTTAGGTAAGCACAAAATAAACACACTGGTTTTCAAAAAATATATTGTACTAGTATTCCTGTCAATTACACTGTTTGAACATTTAAAAAATAAATGTTGCTGTTATTACATTTATGTATGGAAAAAGCAATTGGTGCCACTCACAAGAAAATAAATTCCAAATAAAATAGAATAGGTTTACTAAAATAAAAAATACTATAATATGACCAGATACATGCCTAGTTTCGAGCCATCTTATTGTACTAAATTTTTGTTTGAGAAAATTTGCTCAATGCAATGCCTCATTCTTTCACCCAGAATTTAAAAGAGACTCCATTTTGAGTGGAGTTGGGGCAAACGATGGAATACAGACATGAATGAGCTCACGTCAATACAATCGAGAAAAATTCATCCTGCTCAAAATAATATTCGAGACAGGCTTAGGTGGGAATGATAAAATAAGAATCGATTATCGAGAAATGAAAGTAAATTAAACTTCAAATTTTCAATAGTAAATACCGTATCTGGAATTTCATTCTGTTTATAAAAATATCCCTTTTGGCTAATTTTCAGTTTATGAAACGGATGTAGGCCATTATTTAACAATCTGAATACCCAGTCATTTGTGAAAACCGTAAACCAACAAATTCCTTTAGAATTTCCACCTCAGTAGGTCAAATAAACAAAAATGATAAGGAAAGACTGCTGAAAAGTATGGATAATATGAATAGACATTTCGCTAAAATTTTGTATGTACAATTTTCTTGTGTGTTTTCATAAATTTAGAAACCATTCAACCGCCAATCATATTTAAAATTCTTGAAGAAACAGAATATACTTTTCAAGATTCAGTTATTCAAAATTCTGGTCTGCGAGCGAAAAACAGAATCTAGTAACCGAATGAAAAAATTATAATTCATGTCAAGTGGACGAGTAATTTGATCGTACTGTATATTTACTAAATAACAGATTTTCAAAATCATAATACCTTGATGATGAAATGATTTTCAAACACAACACAATCTTGGATAAGGGCATTCATACATTCGCTTTTTTGGTTAAATAGTCACTTATGCTTCAAATTTCCTTTTTTTTTTCAACTTGGCTAAAATCATAAATCGAGTTTGGTGATGGTATCACAAAGTCTTACATTAAACATGGTTTACCACAGAACTTGCCAAACTTGGGGTCCCGACCCCATGGTGGGTCACGAAACAGCTCAATGTTGGTTGCGGTAAAATCTTTTTCAGCACTTACTTATGTTGAAACAAAATATTGATCAAATTTGGAAGCAGTACTGCGACACACCATCACCGATTCGACCATTTGGGTTAGAATATGCAAGCAAGCGAATTTGTTCAATATTTTGGTTTCACATAAGTTGAGTGTCTGAAGATATTTTACCAGCCATCATTATTAATCTCTATCGCGACCCATTAATTAAAGGTATTGTCAATATTATTATTTATTTTTAATATTTCTGTATTATTAAATTTTACTTTATTTCAATTTTAGTTTTTGCAGGCCGCGAATAATTTGGCCGGCCGAGTGCGTTATGATGGAAAAAGAACACTGGTTTAATATAACGAATAGCGTTTTATTCAAACTCGTTTACCTACTTCAATTTGACCTTTGAGACCACAGCTAGATTGCAAGGAAATACTAAACTTTATCACTTCCTGATGAAACTAACTTGGCAAATCATAATGGCAAAGTCAATTTACTAATTCCAGGTGAAGTTCAAAAATTTTTTTAATCGCAAAAAATCAGATTATGGTCATGTAATTTTCATGGATTAAGATTCATGTGTCGTATTATGATAATACAATACCAAAAAATTTTAAAAATAATTTCGTATCTTGTAAGCAGGATTATAGATGCCACAAAACCAAATGAAAATGATCAAAAATCCTTTATTTTCCAAAATTACAATTGGAAGACCTTTCAGCATTTGTGAGCCTCCAAAACCTATTTGTAATGAGTCAAAATTTGTGGATGACATTTTATTATTTGTATTTTGAATACAAAAAACTGTTTTAAATTTATCTGAATGTAACCAAATCATACACAAATGTGCTGAAGCCAAAACATGAAACGTACTCAAGTTGTCACCCAAAATTTTTCACCGCTGCGCTACACTATAGAGGATTTTCTCATTCACAATCCGTGACCCCTCGGTAGCCAGGTAATCTGTAATCAATCATCATTGCTATCACCCCAGAACAATTTAATTCTCAGTCTCACTGCACATTTCTTGGCCCAATCAATCTTTCTGACAACGTCAAATATATATTTTTGGTGAGGAAATTTCACAAACCACAAGCAAACGATTATCATCCTTTTAAGATTTTAATTGCGGTTCTAACTATCAAATATAATTTTTTAAGATTGATTTGGACAAATTTCTCTGTGAACGTGGCCAATTTAGATTATATTCAAAAATATCATTTAAAAATGCATTTTAAATAGCAATTCATCAAATTTTGTCATTCCGGGCAGCCTAAAATCTAACTTTTGGATTCAGACCTACACCATTAACCATATGACATGTTTTTGAGTTTATGCGTCTGAGTTCAAATTTGAAAATCGATTCCTGTCAAAATTATATAATTATAGCAGTAACTTTAATAAGGATATATAAAACAAAAATTGGAAATTTAAAACTCTCAGTCCGCTTCAAGTAACTTAAGAAGGCAAATAAAAGGTTAAAAAGGAGTAAATGAGCATCCACCTTAGTATATTATTATTAGTAACAAAGAGTAGGACGGGAGGAAACTTACTAACATGGCAGTAACATTTAGGACATACAGTAACAAGAAAAATACAATCGGTCCGACACTGATACAAAAATTAATTGTTATTAAAACAAGCTCTTTTTTAATTATTATCTTAAATTTAAAGTAAATGAGCCAAAGAAAGTAAAGCAACAAAATTTTTTTTCGCGAAGAGCAGGTATTGAGTTAATCAGACCCTCGCAAGGCACAATAAGGTATCAATGTATAATATTATATTTTATGGGGCTTACTTGGGTTCATCAAACATACCCATAATTTCATCCATCAAAGAAGGCCCCAAGTCCAAACTGAAGCCCCAACTCTCGTCCTCTGATCGCTGTGTTTCAGTATTTTTCTTAGCAAAGTCTGGCATTTCAGAAAGAACTTCCGAAGACCTACGCAACGGACTTAGTTTTTCAGCGTGATTAAGAGTTGGTGGCTCGACATCTAGATTTTTTTGTCCATCTGTATTATTTTCAGCCTCCGTTTTGAAAGACATAATGCGTCGAGGTTTTGGTGGACCACCCGTAACACCATTCGGAGTTTTATGAGGAGTTGTTGTCGTCTTTGTGGTTGCCACATCGGTTGTGCTCATTTCTGATGACAGGCACACATCCTCGTGACTTTTGCTGTATACTTTTTGATTTTCATCATTCGTTGTTGGCTGTTGATTAACGTGACTTGCAACCTTTTTTGAATCTTCGTTATGTTTTGCTGGTGAGGTTTCATCATTGCTCAAAATAGGTAATGAAAATGCAGACTGTAATACGGGCGATAGCTGTTCATCGCTGCGTGACGATGTACCATTCGATGGCGTAGATTTGTCATTACCACTTTTTGATCTTTTAAATCCTGAAAGAGAAATACAAATAAATTGTATATCTAGATGAACTGAAATTTTGATATTCTGGAATATGGATTAAATGAAATGATTTTGTCACAAAAAACATCAAATAAATAACATTTGTGATGTGAAATGTTTGAATCGATCAATACACCTGTTGCAGTATCCTCACATCAGTGCATATAGGAAAGGATTCACATATTTATCCAGAGGACGAGGAAAGCTGATAAGATGGCTTAATGGCGATGGCGAACCACAGCCTTTCATCTGGTTACCAATCCATGTTGGCTATGGGATTAGTTAGCCAGTTATTTGTTTCAGATACATGAACTTTTATTCATTAATATAAGACAGAAAACATTAAAGAATAACTATATATACTTAAAAGAGTGCTAAATTAGACATAGTCTTGGACTCAAGAAAAATTTGAAACATTTTATTACTAGATTTTAGAAATTGACATCTGACAGACTAAAAAATGTTCCAATTGATAACTGACAACTGAAAATTGGATAGAAATCAAAACAAGATTTGACTGTACCATTTTGTATTATTGCAACAAATCTTGGCTTATATTGATTGCTTTTACATAATTTGGCATATATCACAATTCACTGCTCAGTTAATGTTTCAACTTGCAATATTTTGAAATTCCAAACAATCTTATTGACAAATTACACAATACAAATCAATATGATATAAACATCCTTGCTACAATGAGTCAACATTTTTGCAAGATTGAACGAAACCATTTAAAAAATTCCAATCTTCTGACCGCAAGTTGAAATTCTCCTTTTAATACTAACATGTAATTTTTCAAACGCTCTAAAACAGTCTTAGCCTGAATCCTATAATTGTATGTTTGTATCGGTAACGTAGCCTTCTGAAACTGTTGATCAACGTGACCAAGTTATTGTTCAACCAGCATTTAGTGTCATGACTAAAGCCTTTAAAATGAAAAAATCTGTATACAAAAGAGGTAATAAATTATTGTTAGAAAACCTAAAGCTTCAATGAATGATTTAAATAATTTAAGGTTTTTGGTTTTTTTTTTATCCATGAAATGAATCGTTTTCATAGAAAATCTTTGATTTAAGGACGCCTAATTATTATAGTAATTTCTTCAAAACTTGGTTTTAAAATTTAAAAAAAAATCACATTTTCTCATATCAGTGGATCCCAATCTTTTTTGTTGCCCATTTAGGAACTCGTTATTCCTCCCTCTGCATAAAACTATGATACTTTATTTGTTCTATCTTTAATGAATTCTTTGCTAGTGTTAAGCGCATGTTGCCTTCCATTTTCGTACAGCCTATCAATAAGTATAGTTTAGTATGTGTTCATGAATAAGTATTTCTATAGTATTGAAAATTGAATGAAGGCTATTTAGGATATGCTGTTAGACTTCAATTGTTCAGAATGATAGTTTGATGAAAACTACTTAAAATTACTCATATAATCAAGAATTTGAGGTCTAATAAAGATGATTTCAAATAGATTCAAATAATATTTGTTTTGGACATTTCTGGTTCTATATTTATTGGATAGGCTATCATGAAAGACATAGATTATGAAAGGTATTACCGGTAAGTATTTATTAAACGATCCAAAGCAGGACGTTAGTTACATGGCTGATTTAAAAATACTTCCTACTTCACATCCCAATAAATTTGAGGTATTTTTTACTGCATACCTTATGGGTCTTTCTCTCAAAAGTACAAAGTCGAAAATAAATTTACGGTCAAATGAGCAAGTATTATGACCAATCATTACCGAATTATCGTGGTTATAACCAGAAATCTATTTCAAGAGAGAGTAAAATAATCTTCATTTATGGAAGTTGTAATAAAAGGTTGAACAAAGGATTGGGGGTTTCTTGTCAAACATTTCTTGAAAATGTAAAAAGAAAATTCTATAATTAAAAATGACCCTATATATCATACTAATATTGAACCTGACTAAAATCCGTCCCTGAGAATTAAGAATTACTTTTACATTATTATCCATTAGCTGATGGTGGGTTCTCATTTTTGGCGATAAGAGTCAAATTTCAGGAAGTTTAAAAGGTAAATACTAAGGAGAAATTGTCAGATTAATAGGAACACCAAATAGTAAAAAGGGGAACATTAAGTAGTGTAAATTCTCTTCCCTTATAAAAGATTGGTCATGGTCACGGCATGAATAATAAAAACTTCATACATGACTCAGAATGTCTGGTATTGCCGATATAATACGGTAAACAACACCTGACGTAACAAAGTCGTATTTGTTACTTTTGTCACGCTGTGTGAAAATGTATGAAATTTTTTTATTGTCTGATTTAAAGAAGTCAAGAGTCTATTATGACCACATAAAGACATATAAAAGTTTGGGCAATGACTGTTGATTGACAACGCTGATAGGGAACTTTGACATAATTCTTTACCTTGTAATAAATTTCATTGTAAAAGTCCACAATGATATTCGTCCAAAGTATGCTTTGAACCAAGAATGGAACATGAAATCAAATATCAGTTCCCATTTTGAACAAAAATACTATATAAGGTGAGGAACAAATGAAGAAGGAATAAAAGCAAAAATAAAATTCAATGGCTTTTTGATTCATACTTGATTTTCTAAATATTTTATAGGTCTTTCAAGTACCACTGAAATAAACCTTCCAGAATAATGAATAACATGTCAATTTGACTGAATCTGGATAAAATTAATTTCTCCATAAAAAATAACATATTCATGATTTAGTGGCTACATCAACCTTTTAAAAATTATTAAATCAGTAAACTTCTTCAAAAGTCAGTTATTTTTAGTTCAAGTATCCTGACTATTATACAATGCATAATCTTGCACAGTTCATTTATAATTTTGCAAGCACAAATGCATGAATATTTAGTTTATTCCTTGAGCAAATATAAAAATATTCTGTTGTTAAAATTGCATGTGATGTCAACAACTTGTTGGTAATTGTATTTGTTGGCAGTGAAACCAAAAAGAAAATAGTACGACATGATATCTAAAAATAATTATGGTATAATTTTCGTTCTTGAGATACTTTCAAGAATGCGACACGACGATGTGCTCATGTTACCTCATTATGTTTGAAGTTTACCAAGCATGGAGTTATGTAAAAAGGTGGTTTTTATAAGTGTGACATCTGTGGCACATACTTGATGAAGTGTGATTATATTCAACGTATACGATGGCACGGTTGTTGTGCTCATTGCGACGCTGGCATTTTTTTATTTTGTGTAATAACGTTAAATTGACAGACGACAACTCTCGAATGGCTGCGTTATTTCCTGTCATACGATCAATGGCTTTCGTTTTATTCAGGAAGGAGAAGAAGGTAGACATACATTTCATACATTCCGTATTTCAAAATAGGGGAACGGGATAAAAAAAAGGTTCACTGGATGTGATCAAAATATGTATAAGAAATGAACACTGTATTCATGTACAATTCCACATAGCTTTCCAGTACATTATAACATTGAGGCATTCTTAGCAATGGACAAGCTTTGTTTGATCACCTGTAGAGAATGCATCACGAATGACATAAATAGGATATCCAAAATGAACCAGATATTCAAAAAGATTCATAATCAATTTTATTCTGTATTTTAAAATCTTCATTTGAGAATTAATAATAGTTTCATTAGAAAAAAAACAATGATTTTTAGCAATTGAAGTCTCGAAGCAATTATGACCAGTAATGCCTTGATTAAATTTCTGAAAATGTAAACATTAAAAACCAATAGAATCATTTTTAATTTCAACTCGACCCCATTTCTGAAGTGAAACTCAAATTTACATTTCTCAATGTGTTGGTTGCTGAACATGACCTATTTTGGAATATATTCGAAATCCCATAATCAAAATATTATTTTTGAATAAATTCAGAATAAAAGATTATTCAGATGCTCCATACCTATGCATAAGATGTTTAGTGCATTCAATATAATACTCAAATGCTCATTAATAAAGTCTCATTATAAATAAATTAATGAGATAATAGGAATCATTCTAAGAATTCGGTAACGAAGGAGGAGTTATCGGAAACTGAGGTAGGCGTCTTTATTGCTTCTATATTAAATATTTGAATACGATATGCAATTTTATTTCTATTTGATGTAACACATTACATGGAAATTCTTTCGATGGATCTGCACAATTAAATATTGATTAATAACGGTTAGAAAATATGTAAAATTGATTAGAATTTCAAAAAATTAAAATTATAATCGAGTAATGATTTTAGTGTTCCATAGGAATCTATTGCTAAATATTAGGACAAAGTGGTGAAAAGGATAATGCCTTCAGTTGAAATAAATGATTACAAATATTTGGTCATGTTGAAAACAGCATATAACAATACACATTATTAATATTTCGAGTCTACATTCCAAAAAATTTATAAATTATACTACAAGTGTTATTCAATTTCAAAACTGATCTAGGTCAGAGGAAAATTAAAAGAAATAAAGAAGTATTAAGCTATCATATAAACAGCAGGCTTTTAAAGCAGTTCACAAAATTGGGAATACTATCAATCAACAGCACCTCATGTGCTTCTTTATGAAATATTAAGTTGTCTCCCCCAAGTAAACTAAAATATATTTTTCATCTAGCGTAGTTTAAAAACAAAATGTTTCAATATAAAGCTGGGCATAATAGTTCATTATTGGGCGCTATTATTACTCATCTCTAAAAGTACGGCTTGAATTTCTCATTTCAAATCAAGTAGAACGAGCTTTAGTAAACATAAAAATACCAGCAGATGTCTCAGCCTGGCTTGAATGAGATAACAGTGAAGTGGCTCAGATAAAGAATGAACATTTGTTTTGTAAAAGTAAACCTTGACATGAAATATTTATTTTGTCGGTTTGCATTATCTTGATCTTAAATTCCAGCACACCACAGAGTTAAGTATTCGATGGGTGAAAAGGGCAGGTTTTTTCACCATATTGGTCGGTATATATATGAATATTTCATATTGTGGTGACAAAAATAA